TCCTCCTATTGCTAGCCTCCAATCACGAGTGAAATAGCTTGTCTCCCAAACAGACTTCCTCCAATCACCAGTCTGATGTAACTGATGTCAGCTGATGCTGGACAAACCAATTGGAGGAAGGCTGATTGCAGAGACAAGTTATCGGCAGTTTCACTTGTGATTGAATGTAATCAGTTATGCAAAAGAGCCTGGAGAGAGACCGTTTGGACCTCCTCCCACCGAGTGTATCAGGTAAATGTTACCTAATTACTGAATAAAAACGTATTCTGCACTATCTTTAAAATATTGATTTCTTAATTTTGGGTTGGAAAAGCGGGGGTCGTCTTGCACATGGGGGTGTCTTATTGACGGAAAAATACGGTATACGACCCAAGGATTCCAATGGGCAAATGGGCAAATGTGAGGAACAACAGGAAGCATTAGAAAATCTTAATGCAGGAAGACAAATATGATTTAGATAGCACGATTGAATCCTGTAAAGTGAAACCCATGAGTGAAATGCAAGGATTGGGTGTAGAATTTATTTAAAAAAATATGCCAGACAAAAAGCATGTTAGGCGAATGTAGCCACAATATTGTTGTGTTGTGTGGGGAAGAGAAAGAATAAAAGTAGCCCGAATAAAGGGGGAATGAAATTTCATGTGAAGAAAGTGCACACGTGCGCTGAGATGCAGGAATTGAACGTGAGGGTCCTGTAAGACTGCAAGCCAAGCTCTCAAAAATTTCATTCAACGAGGTTAGATGGTTGAAGAGGTAAAAGTAGTGGGAACCTTGAGAGAAAGTGAGTCGTGTCTTCTGGGCATTCAAGATACAACAGAAAGAGAAATTGGGACACTGTTGTATACGCACACTAGATTTCAAGAAGCAAACTTATATAATGGAATCCCATGTACTGAAACCCTCATATTTAAGTGAGTGCAAGAGGGCTGGAGAGTTTTTAAAATAAGGGGACAGCTTTAGAAACTTTTCTGGGTGCAGAGGGAGCTTTTAACCAAGCTCAAGGGACATGTACAGGAAACAGAGGATGGGCATTAACTATCAAGGAAGAATACATGCAAATAACTAATGTCTGCAAAATTAAAGTGAAAAAACATAAAAAACTTATGCTTGCAATGAAACTAAATGATGCAAAAGTTGGTAGGATAGTAACAGGTGATGGGAAGAGGGCAGAGCTTCTCAACAATTACTTTGCTTTAATCTTCTCTCCGAAGGGAAACTGTGTTCATCTGGCAAAAAGAGGGAGTGACAACCCAAGGTAAATAAAGAGATGGTTAGGAAGCACCTGGCCAGCATTAATGAGTTTCAGTCACTAGAATCAGATCAATTATATTCAAGAAAATGGGATGCCAGAGGATTGGAGAAAGACAAATGTTGTTCCTGTCTTGAAAAAGATGGGGAAAAGGGGGACTAGAGTAACTTCAGACCAGTCAGTTGATATAAAGTATTAGATTATACAGTAGTTGGTTTGTGAGCATTTAGAAAAGAATGCAATACTTGGCAGGGCACAACATGAGTTTATCAAAAATACATCATGCCAAGCCAACCTCACCTCCTTTTTTGTAAGAGTGACCTGTTTAGCTGACCACAGGAATGTAGTACACATAATGTAGCTTGAGCAAAACATCTGACAGTCTTCTGATGAGATTCCAGTACAGAAGAGAGCAAAATATGGGCTGGACTATGCTATCAATAGATGGATTCAGTGGTTGAACAATTGTACAAAAAGGGAACATCAGTTATTCCACATGAAGCTGGAGAGCTCTGTCAAATGGTGTAACACAGGACTCCATTCTAGGCTCTATTTTTTTCAACATATTTATAAATAACTTGGCTGAGGGTTGGAAAATATGATTATCAAATTTGAAGACGACACAAGCACAGAGTGACAGTATCAAGATTCAGGAAGATCGTGACTATCTGAAAAATGGGCAGAAATTGGCCAGGAGAATTTTAAAAAATGCAGTCTTACAGTTAGATAGGAAAAATCAAACACACAAGTGTATCACATATCAAAAATGATTTGGATCACAAGCTAACATGAGCCAATAGTATGATGCAGCTGCCCTCCCCCAAGGCATTTTAGGCTGCATTAACAGAAGGACAGTGTCAATATCAAGAGAATTCATAATTCCTTTCTATAGTGCATTAATAAAAATGCACCTATAATATTGTGTTCAGTTCTGGGCACTAGATTTTAGGAAAGACACTGACAAACTGGAGGGTGTCCAGAGGGGAGTAATGAAGATGATAAGAAGCAAACCTCAGGAGGAAGAGGTGTAGGTGCGAATATGTTCAGTCTGGAGAATAGTCTGTGGGGAGTCACGATAAATGCCTTCACGTGTCTGAAGGGCTGTCATCCAGAAAATGGACAGAAGTGTTTAGAGTTGTTCCAGAACACAGAAAGAAACAAGGGGTTAAATTACATTAATTTAAATTGTCCATTAAGAACTGATTGTGCTAAGTTACTGTGAAAAAAAAAAAAAAGGAAGAATAATTTCAGACAGCATACTACAACAATTTGTTGTAGTTCCCACTTGTTCTCTTCAATAAATTCAGGTAGATATCCTGCATCAAAACAATATAATAATTTCTACACCAGAGAGGCCATAGATATGCAAACTATATAAATACTTGAATAAAAAATATTAAAAATAAAACATTAAGTTTATAGAAAAACTTGATGCAGGAGAAAAAAAGGAAAGGGAGTCTTTTTCACCTTCCCTGTCTCCAACACCTGCAACCCTTGTACATTTAGAAATTGTGACACACATCTGGAGTGCTGCTAGTGCCCAGCAGAAAAGGCCCCCAGAAACTCTGCCTCCCACAAAAGCTTCCACCAACCAGAAGGTTCCACTTGGGGGCAGGGCTATACCATGTCCCACCGAAGCATTGCAAAAATTACAAACCAAGCTACTTGGTTCGGTCCCAAAGTAGTTCTTTCTTGTCCAGAGCCCAGCTCATAGATTAACCATCCTAAGTTAGAGGAGTGGTTTTTATTTGAACGCTAGAAAAAAACTGGTAAGAGCAGTTTGAGAATGGAACCAGGGACCCAGAGACATGCAAGCTCCCGTGTGCCAGAAGTGTTCAGACAAGATGCTTTAATATTCCTGCACTAAGCAGTCCAAAATCAGGAGGGATCTGGTAGCACCTTTTCAGACTAACGCGTTTCATTAAAAGGCGTTAAGTTTTAAGCCCTGGCAAGGGGTTATAGGATGTGGGTTCGTTGCACTGATTACATCCCCATGCTGAATGGGGAATTCTAAGAGATGAAGTCTACCAAGGTTGGGGAACACTGGGAACGATGTTGTCAAGGGCACTTAACGCTTAACTGAGTGGCCTATCAGTGTCACTGGAATTCCAGCCAACTAATCATGAATAGTCAAGAAAACAAAGGGATCAATCCAGAGTTTCACTCAAGACACAAATGTCCAAGCTCAAATTCTCATACAGCTCTCTTGATAAGTCTATAATGTTGGGAAAGGTAGAAGGAAAGAGAAAGAGAGAATGCCGGCAGAAAAGTGGATGAACCTGATTACAGTGGCAATGGGTGAACTGAATGGTGAGATTGGGGACAGATCATCCTGGAGAAGATGTTGCAAAGAGTTGACACCGACTAATGGCACTCACTCAATCAATATTTAAACTTTATTTCAAATTTTGTGATGTCTCCTATCTGGTCTCTCATCCAGATGAGGTGGCTATTCTGCTGCTGCTGAACATTACACAACAATTGTCTGTTCACTTGACACTACATCCAATATTTGTTCATCAGAATACATATTGGGCCACTATGCAGTTTTTTTTTAAAACCTTATCGTGATAAGACATGGAACATAGTTCAAGGACAGGATAAAAGGTGGACTATCTGGAACAGATGGCTTTGAAAACATGAGGTGTTTGTGTGCATTGCTTCTAGCCAAGAATTTGAGAATATTAGGCTAAGAGTGCAGAAGTCATTTCAAATCAGCTATACAAATTAGCAAACAGAAAAAAAA